TGATGGATGTCAGCGTTGATTTGTGGAAGACCTACAGCAAAATGGATCCTGTTTCCTTGGAGGATTTGCTCTTTGAGGTAAAGACAGTGAAATGTTCTGAATCAACTCAGAGCTGGAGCAAAATTGTTGTGATTTTGTTTGGTTTTAGTAATGTTTATGGACTTAATCTACAGGGTCCTTTTCCTTCTCCTTTTCCTCCTTTTCCCTTTCCTCCTTCTCTTTTTCCTTCTGCTTTTCTTCCTTCTCCTTTTCTTCCTTTTCCCTTTCCTCTTCTTTTTCCTTCTCCTTTTCCTCCTTCTCCTTTTCCTTCTCCCTTTCCTCCTTCTCCCTTTCCTCCTTCTCTTTTTCCTTTTCCTTTTCCTCCTTCTCCTTTTTGTTCTCCTTTTCCTCCTTCTCCCTCTCTTCCTTCTCCTTTTCCTTCTCCCTTTCCTCCTTCTCCTTTTCCTCCTTCTCCTTTTCATTCTCCTTTTCCTCCTTCTCCTTCTCCTCCTCCCTTTCCTCCTTCTCTTTTTCCTTCTCCTTCTCCTTTTTCTCCTTCTCCTTTTCCTTCTCCCTTTCCTCCTTCTCCTTTCTGTTCTCTCTTTCCTTCTTTTCCTTTTCCTTCTCCCTTTCCTCCTCCTCCTTTTCCTCCTTTCCCTCCTCCTTTTTCTCCCCCTCTTCCTCCTCCTTTTCCTCCTTTATCTCCTCCTCTTCCTCCTTTTCCTTGTCCTCCCCTCAAATCTACCACAAACTCTGCAAAACACTGAAATAACTTTCCTTGGATTCCTTGAATTTCTTATTTTGCCTGAAATTCTCCTAAAAACCTTCCTAACATGTGACCTTCATGTCCAAAGTACAGGAAGTCGGGGGGTTTGTGTGTGTTAATCCTCCTTTTGCAACAAGGAGTAGGAAGAAAAATCCACTTTAACACAGAGCCATTCTGTGATTGATGCTTCCAGGGGAAAAAAAAGCACTTTTCAGGATGCTTTGTAACTGCTTTAAGTGGGTAACAGCGACACTCAGTGGCTGCCCTGGTGCTTTGGGAAATCCAAACACTGGGAAGTGATTCCTGGTGTTAATGCCATGCTCAGGGCTGGAGGAGAAAGCAGTGGATGAGGCCTAGGATTTATAATTTATTCATATAGATATTTGATGAGTACTAGGATATATTATTCTGGTGTTAATTTTTTAGCAGTTTTCAGCTTGGCAGCAAATCAGGCTTTTAAAATGCAGCAAGTTCAGCAGTAATTATCCCTTATTAATAGAATATTGGTAGTTTACACCCATTTGGTTGTTTAATCAACTGCTGTAATGAAAATTAAAATATCACAGAGCTTACAGGGCTCTCAGTCTGAGTAATCACTCTCTGATATTTCACCTCCCCTTTCCTGTGTGAGAGTGAGGTAAATATTTGGGACTTTTCCTACACCTCCTAAGTCTACCCTGAAACAAGCTTATTTATCCTATTTTAAAGTTTTAAACCCAAAAGTTGCTGTTAAAAGGACTTCAGATTTTCTGAAAACATCAGTTCACGAATGGGCTTTTCATACAACTTTAATTTCCCAGAAGTTGGTGACTTTAGAAATGATTAATTTTCTCAGGGAGGGTGAAGTCAGGTGATCTCAAAGAGCATTTGAAGCTCCTCTGTGTTTATAAATTTTTTTTGGTTCACCTGCTGAAACCAGGATGTGTCTCATCTTCCAAGTCAGGAAGGGACAAGGGACTGAAATTATTCTTGAGACCATTTTAAAATTGAAAATTTTAAAGGCTCCTTTATCAGCATTGCACACTCATTTCCTTTTATTGGTCCTCTGGTTTTTTAAAATTAATTTGAATGCAACAAATGACCTTTTTTATTCTGCTTTAGTCAGGTGTTACTGATATTTCCTTTTTTCACTCCCCAGTTGTTTTTACAAATGCAGGGACAGAAATGACTGTGCTTCCCAAATTCCTCACCCTGTTCCTCACTTTGTGTCCATGAGCTTCCTTAGTGTCAGACAGAAATTACTGCAGAACCATAGACTGATTTAAAATTGCAATTTAAATCTCTCCAAGGGGAAGTTTTGTGGAAAATATGAGATCTGGGGTTTGAATTCTCTCAGAGCACTGTAATTCCTTGGGTTAAAAGCAGGTGGTGCAGGGCTGTGATTCTCCTCCTTCTCCTGCCTTTTCCCTTTCCAAAAAAATCCAAACCCAAACAAACACACAAAAAAAAACCACACCAAAAAAGAGCAGCAAAGTCCTTATCTTTTAAAATACCTTTGTTTTCTTGTATTTCTCGTTTCATTGGGCAGTTTGTCTTCTGTACTGCCCAGCCAAATATCAACCTTTGACTCCCTTTCTCTGGAAGTTGAATACTGAACGTTTCTCTTGCAGGATTTAATGATTTTTGAACGCCAGTGGACCAACTTTTTTGCTAATTTTGACACCGAAATTCCCTTCATTCTGGAGCTCTCGGAATCTCAGGCAGGGGAGGTAGGTCTGCTTCAGGAATCCTTGGAAATCCTGCTCTCAGCTGTGCAGAAGGAATAAGGATTCAGCATTAGGGTTGTTTTCTTTTTTCCTGCCACATCTCACCTTTGAGGGCTCTGCAGAGGGACCTGGACAGGCTGGATCCATGGGCTGATTCCAACGGGATGAGGTTCAACCAGGCCAAGGGCCGGGTCCTGCCCTTTGGCCACAACAACCCCCGGCACATCCAGGCTGGGGACAGAGGGGCTGGAGAGCAGCCAGGCAGGAAGGGAGCTGGGAGTGGGGATGGACAGGGAGCTGAACAGGAGCCAGAGTGTGCCCAGGGGGACAAGAAGGCCAATGGATCCTGGCCTGGATCAGGAACAGGGTGGCCAACAGGTCCAGGGAAGTGATTCC